TTCACGGAGGCGCTGATGTACCATCCATAAGAGCCAACGATTGCCACGAGAGATGCGACAACAACGGCATCTGGTGGATGGCCTTCTTCAGCGCCTCCTCGTCGGTTTCTTGAGGGACGCGCTTCACACGATTTGCAGCAGCAATGGGCGAAATAATGTGAGGGATGACCCCGGATTCATGTTCTGACATGCACGTATGTGTAACCGCCCAGAGAAAAAGGCCGAATTAGCAGGGGTTGAAGATCGTCGTGGTTGTTGAGAACGATGATGAAGCCACGTCACCGTCATATCTGTAATCACGTGACCTCAATAAAACGTCGTACAAACGGGCACTGGCACCGAAGGGAAAACGAGGAGCAGGATGGAGCGCGTTATGGAAAGTACCAGAAACAACAAGAGAATAAGTACGCACCATGCGACTTTCCCCACTAACGACTCGAGGCTTGATATGATTCCCGGATGACACAAAAGCGAGCAAACTAGAGGCGTCCAAGGATGACAAGAGAGACAAAACAGCTGGCTGGAGGTGTTCACCGACAACACGATAGAGTCTCATACAGATACATGGCAAAGTAACCAGCGTATAGGAGACAACGAGAGAAGAGAAAGAAAGGAAACGGCGGTGTGACGGAGCGGAGAACGCGGACTGAATGCGGAGTACGTATGCACGTGGACATCGACCAAGCTCCACGTTTCGCTGACAGCGAGGGTGCAACGTAACCATTCCTCCTTGTTACATCCGTACAACAAAAAGATTTTTTCTCGCGGGTGATATGCCGCAAGGGTTTGGGAAGCCACGTCATTTACGTATTTGTATGGCATGGTTTGGACTTGATGCCAGCGAAACGAAGCATCACAGTTCGATGCAAGCATGACGGCTACTTCTAAAGGCCATCCGTTCTCACACTCTCTGCCGAAAAAAAAACACACGTTACGAAAAGCGTTTATATCCGGTATCAGGCTGCTGACTCTTCAGGACCTACAACACCAAGCACACGGCACCAGTGACGTCAACGCCGAGACTTTGAGTCCAAATCAGGTCGCCGTTCGACCACCGCGCCCAGTCGCGCGACTTGACTACGCGAGCCATGAGCGAAGTTGGTGCATGCGGTAATAGGCATGGTGCCTTGATGCCGAACTCAACGTCCGAGTGTCGAGCTCAGACTCCACACCCACTGCCCTTCTGCATATTACGAGTGTTGCGACTTAGACCGTATAATCGCATGATCCGCAACCTGAATTTGATACGCAGCCAAGCGGCGACTTGGACATCACTACACGGCACGTATTCCGAAACACCCCAATTCCACACCCCAGATATCACGGATAGGTGGCCCGTGTACGGTACGAGCGGGCTTCGATCGCCTTGTCGGTATATCTCTGAAGCAACGTCCGAGTCGGACGTCGCTTCAGAGGCATAACAGGGAGATGGAAGCCACACTTCCATTCTACCACACCGCTTCCCAATCGGGACATAGCGGAGGCACACTGCCGAGGAGTGTTACGTAATTGCATGACATCATCACATTACCCCGAGACGTGGCAAACGCCTAGACACACTCGTTGTCGCCGCCGCCTTCACTACCCCCGATCATTTCACGGGGAACTGGATATCAGTGACTCGGTACCACTCGATACGCTCTGGACTTGGTTGCTTTGCCGGACATAACGTCAGAGACGTGACACGGATACGAAATTGAGCACGTCACACTTCATTTCACTCACTAGACACCGCTTCCTCAATATGGGATAGAGAAATAGAACAGAGCGCACCCTCCCCGAATATATGTGGATAAAACTTTGTGCAATCACATGATATCAGAACATTGCTCCGAGATGTCCCAAATGACTGGAAACATACATCCCACGTCCCACAATTCACGTATCCGAGTATTTCGAGAATATCAATGGTATTCCCAGTACGCGAGTGTTTTCGCTGAGATATTTCATCTTTCTGTGAGTAAGAGGGTGATATCAGACGATACGCTCAGGGCATATCACCGCCACATGCATTACCTCCGATCATTCACATGGACCTGAAGATCAGTGAATTGCAACCCCAGACGCTAAGCGCTGTATCTATCCTCGCTTGCGAGACGGAGCTCCACAGAAATGAATACATCGCGCGATATGGTCCCGAATCACCTACGTTCACGACTTTGCTCCTTTTTGGAAGCAAGAACGCGACCTCTAAGGGATGAATATGACTTACTCCAAACACATCTCCGCCGCCTTCGATACCTCCCATCATTCACCAAGACGTAGATGAGCACATCAACCGCATGACAAGAAACATACGTCACAATACCCAATAAAATTCCCGCTGATCATCAAAGCATGACACATCACACTGGCAGGGCAAAGAGGACGCAGGCGAAGGAGGTCTGCAGAAATCATAAGTCCAAGAAAAACGGTATCTAAAGAGGCCCTGCGAGTGTATAAAGCCTCAGCAGTGCGCGAGCTTGCGGATGAACACCGCTCCTGCCTGTAAAACCAGCTACTCCAGAATACATCTCTACCCTCTGTTTCGTCTTGCGTCGTCACTATGTCGATAATCCGTGTCGGAGTGAGAGCGCTGTCTCTCATCCTCTATCATATTGTTCACATTCTCTCCGTATAGATTAAGCTCCAGAACGTTGTCCCTCCTCGAGAGGCACTCGCAGATGCTTTCCTGCGCGTTATGCTCATCGATGAGCTGTGCGATATGGTGCTGGACTGCTGCACTCCTCAGACTCTCGTCATGCTGGCACAGACCTGTTCCGATTGGAATTCCCGCGTCTGCGAGTATATGCGATACAGATACAAGATCAACCACAGTCTTTCGCACTTTTTCGCCGACCCCATGGCGTTTCGCCGCATCCAATACGACACTTCCTCCTTGATTAGCGGGATGTTTGCTCTCAGCTTCATCGGACGCTATAACTGGACTGTCAACCAGCTAGATGTCTATGTTCCTCGGTATCGCGTCCACCCCGTCGTCCGTTTCCTGCTCAACTCCGCGTACCGCTACGTTCCACGGGCGCAGCAGAATTCAATTCTACGCTATGAACTCGCCGGTCCTACCCAGACCGTAAGGTTTCAGGATGGTGTACGACCCCTCTTTTGCTCCGGCCAGCACGATCGCGGCGTACACGCAGTATACACATTCCAAAAGACCCTCGTAACCCACGACAAGGAGACAGTACTCACCATCCACATTGTGGAATCAGTGGACGCACCAATGCATCCAATCCTCAATTTGGACTCCAGTGCGCACTTTCATTACACTCATCCGCGAAATGTTTACTAATCTGCTAATATCAATCAGCCGTCGGGATGAACATCATCAGCTACGAGCGCGCGTACTCTCTTTACCCTCGTGCGACATTCGAGGAGAAGAAGGGTTTATTTCTTCCGAATCCTGGACATCGCGACATAGACGGCGTCCGAGAGTTTACTTCGTATCGTTGGACGCTCTTCAACATCGTCAACACCGAAGTCTATCCCCTTTTTAAAACTCGATCTCGCTGGATAGACGACGGATACTCACTCAAGGTAAGTCTGTCGTGGCAAGAACTTCCAACTTCTTGCTATAACCATATTCACCGTGCACATAGATATCGCTTCACAGATCCCGCGACGAGCGCATGACCTTCACATACTCGAGACCGAATGCCGCCACTCACTGCACGTTAGCCGATCCCGCTCGCGTCACCAACTTCCGCTTGCGATACAGCGTCATCGGAAAGGCCCATCACTGCTTCTCTGCTATCAGTTCCTCGGCACTACAGAACTATTATATCTTGCACGAAGATCGGCTTATAAACGCGCTGAAGCTCCTATATCGCCACGTACTCCGCGATAACTATTTCAACTCCCGCAACGAATACGGCAGTAATATCTCTTATATGAATACTGCCGCATTCCAGTAGTGCGTAAAACTCGCATTTTGTTGAATAAATGTGCTTACATTTTATCAGTCATGACAGCGAGCTAATCTCGCATATTGAATCGTACCGAAACCTGAGGTTTGATCCCAACGAGTCGGTCTTCAGAGATTGCTCTCACCCGTTTCGGTTCTTGCACAGAGTACGTCGCATCACATTCACAATTCGGTTATTGACATTTGTACAGCTGATAGCAATCGGCTGGGAGCCGCAAGAGAGAACAAGGATTCTGAAGAACTAGACAACGTGCTTTGCGTCGCGGTGCCTGATTTATGTTACACAATTCAATGCTTCGTTCACGAGAATTTCATGAATATGACGATCATTTACGACCTGAAACGTCTGTAGTAATCCTGATGTACTTTGATTCCGCAATCACAACTCAATACGCAAACAAAATCTACGATACGAGCTATAAGGCCTGATACAATGATTAGCGACTACTATTCCCATACAGATAAAAGCATAGATATATAAAAACGGTAATTGCTCGTTAGCGGTGCGATTAGGCGCAATCATGAGTATCAGTGACTTCAAGATGAGAACCATATAAGATGAGCTGGAAGAATAACCCACAAAATCACCTACTACCTAGTACGCAATAGAATCGACAAGTGACAACGAGGTACCGAAGATAAGGACAGACAAATAGCGACCACAAAATAGAAATTGACATATGGAATTCAGAATCCTTTCGCGCAGCGATCAAACTCGTCACTACTAAATTCGCAACGGCACGTATCGAAACTTCCGAATTCGAAACAACGGAACGCGCGCTTATCGAACGCCTAGCGATCGAATTCGCACTGGGCCGGCCGTCAAGTAACGTTGGATGAACGAATCGGGAAACGTACCATCAAGCTTTTAGACAAAGGGTATGTGGACATGCCCCTCTGAATGAACGCAATACTTGCTATACGCGCTCGTGTATCCCTTGTAGCTTATCATCGCAGTAAAATGCGATGACTCGTCGGGAATACCGCGATCGGATCCCTCGTGGTCGGTACTACAGCCAAAAACCGTAAGTATCGTGCTATAACGCGAAAAAAGTTGAAAGAGAACGCACCTGGATGTCACAAACAGCTCCTTCCACCCCAGATGGCCATACTCCTTCTTCACCCATGACTTGATGCATCTCTCAGCCATCTGCTTCTTATCTGGCTGGTTTTTGTAGCCATTTCCAGTGAAGTTGACATAGATATACACCATAGTAAGCAGAGAGTGTGGATGGAAAGATCCTAGTAAGTAGTGGTGATGGATGGGTTGATGCCAGCAGGGACCAGCGCAGCCTCTGAGTGAAAACTTCATACATTCACGCGAGTGCTGCTCAGCTGAAGCGTTCAGAGCCGAAAAAACGAGTACGTTCGTCTACGTTCGCTTTATACGATTAGTACATGAAGATACCGACGCTCCTCGATTGCATTCCAAATTCGACTCGAACAGTGTCAACGCACCGCCTACGCGAAGTCCGTTGTCGTCGATGCGACGATTACCCACCGATCTCGCTCGATATATCTTCATTGCATCTGTCTACAGGTATTATATCTGTATTCAGGATACATCTACTTGAGCTCCACTGACATCCAAGGACACCGACTTTCAACATTGCTCCTATGTGTATGGAGTTGTTATCTTATCTTATCGTATAAGCGCCCAAAAATCCACCCAAATGCGGCAACTGTCATTACGCAGAGAAACCAAAGCGCAGTAGACCATACGATTACGTAACTGATTGTTATCAAGTCAGCGCTGACTTCGGCAACTCGGCAAACAGACGGATAACATTCGGAACTGATACTATCACATGATGTAAGCGATCCCACACTACTATGTCACGCTGCTGCGTCCCATCTAAACTAG